ATAATAAATGTAAATAAATCTTAATTATTAAAAGTAAAGATATAAATGGTTAAGATTTTATGTAAGTGTTGTATGTAAAATTTATGTATGATTAGATTTCTACTATTTTTTAATACTATTTTTATTTTTAAAAATTATTATTATATTTATTATTAATTATTAAGCATAATTTATATAAATGCAAATAACAAATCAATTAAATAGATTAAGTTAATAGTCTTAAACTCCTATATTTATTCCTTTGCATGATACTCACGGGACATACTCTTTTCATGCTCACTATATATATATATATTTCACAATTCAAGTATAAAACTTACCCAAATGGATATATTACTTGTAGGTAGACTTGGCAAACAAGTCGGATTGGTTGGGTTCAGATTGGGTCGTCTTGGATATTGGATTTTTGAATTAAGTCATTTTGGATGTTGGGTTAAAAGGGTAGACCCATGACCCACCCACATAAGTTTGGCAAAAACCAACATTTAGCTCCTTATTTTACAAAGTTGGTAAGCTTTAACCTCTCAACTTATAACATAACATTTTTAACCCTTTACCTTATAAAATTGGTAGGTTTTAGCCCCTCACCTTACCAAGTTGGTAGGTTTTAATCTCTTACCTTATATTATGTCCTTTTTAGCCCTTTACTTATACGAATTGAAGAAAATAATCCTTACATAATATCAGATTATAACGTTCTATTAGTTCTATTAACTGACTGTTGACATCTGTTAGCATTCCATGGTAAAAAACATTAAATTTGAATTCAATTTTGTTTGTTAGTTCTATTAACGGAATGTTAACGGATGTTAACAATCAGTTAACAGAACTAACAATTAGTTAGCAGAATTTACAATCAGTTAGCAAAATTTACAATCAACTAGCATAATTTACAATCAACTAATAGAACTAACAGAACATTATAACATTGTGTTAAGTGAGGGTTGCTTTCTTCAATTCATACAGATAAGTAACTAAAAGTGTCATAATATAATATGAGAGGTTAAAACCTACCAACTTTGTAAAGTAAAGGACTAAAAGTGTTATATTATAAGGTTATGGGTTAAAATGTACCAATTTTGTAAGATGAGGAGCTATAGTTGGTTTTAATCCATGGGTCTTGAATTAGGTTAGATGCACCCAACTTTTTTAAAAAATAAAAATAAAAATAAATTTTTTTTATATTTTTCTTTATTTTTCTTTAATAAAGTCTAATATTAATTAACTATCTAGTTAGAAAAGTCTATTAAATGCTAATTTTCATTTCATTACTCAATTTTCATTCCAATCTCATGAGAAGACAAAGGAAAGATTACTATTTATATAGATGGAACTAATTAAAATATATGTCAAATATATAATACTTATACAATATTTATAATTCATAATTTCATAAAGGTATTAACCTCTATTAAAAAAAAAAAAGACATGAAGGATTATAGTTCAAAAGATAAATCCAATATATATGTTAATATCTAGTGTTTATTTAATATTTATATAGGTATTATACAAAAAATATAGTTCTTTTCAATATTTAGAAGGATATTATACAAAAAATATAGGTTTATTCAATATTAGAGTTCAAAAGACAAATCCAAAATATGTCTAAACAAGTACAAGAAGAAGTTGAATTGGGATTGATTTTTATCAATTAGAAACAAATTATTCGCTAAGAACAAACTTGATGTTCTTGTTTTTGTGCTTCTAATGGTAATAAGGGTACCTCAACCATTAGGTTTTGATTTTCAGTATGCATTCTTGCTTCTTATAGTAAAAAAAAAAAAAGATCTTTTTAATGGTGCCATATGACACAGTTTACTATGTGCCATCTAATTTGATTTTTTATGCAAGTGCCACCAAAGAGAATGATTAAAGAGCTTGAGATGAAAAAGGGGAGAGTGAGAGTGGAGAAAAGGATAAGTTGAGAGAAAGTGAGATTGACGGGAGGTTAGGGTTTGGGTATTTTATTTATTTTTACTTTTAGGATTAAAAAATAAGAAATTTAAAATTAATCTTTAAGTAATCTCATCAAATTGAATAAAAAAAGTTTGAGTCATTTCAAATGACCTGGCCCACTTATGACCCAACCCATTTGGGTTTAGATCATTTCAGATTTCGGATTAATATATAAGATCCATGATTCGACCCAAAACGAATGAGTCGGGCCGAATTTTTAGAATGGGTCCAATTTTGTTAGGTTTGTAGGTTAGAATGCACCAAACCAATTTAGAAGGTATACCTTTAAAATTGTTAAGAAAAAGTTTAGTTTGGAGACATGCAAAAAGGTAACCCACTAATCTTAAATTATTAAATACCAAAAAATGGGGCCAAAATTTTTTGAGGCCCTATTAACTAAAAAAATTTCATAGAAGGGCATATAAATAAAATACCCATTAAAACTTAAGTACTTAGAAAGTTTTTCAGAGACCATGGCCCCACGGCCCCATCATCCTCCACCGATCATGAATTTGAGAGACGGAAGGAAATGGATTAATATTAGTTTTGCTTTTTAATAACATGAGTGTTGGACAAAACTTTATTTTTATGGTTAGTGCTATAATTACTAAAATTATTAAAGTAATTTAAATTTACAACATAACTCAAATATAATTCAAATGACCCTTAATTACTTATGAGCAAAACCTTCAAATTCACCCATTACATCGAGGTATGATAGATTCACTTTTTTAAAAAATATAAGGACAAATTATCTTTTTAAATTATAAATCGAGATAAATCATTTATTTTTTAATGTATAATGTCTAAATTCTGTTTGCCATATAAGCATTTTTAATAGAAAATTGATGTCAGATGTTAAAAAATGAGAAATTTTACTCAATTTATAATTTGGATAAACAATTTATCCTTACTTTTTTTGAGTGGATCTATTCCTACCCCTATTTAAGTGGTGGATTTGGGAGTTATGCCATTACTTGAGCCTTTTAAGCAACAATTTCTACAAAAGTTCTATTGATTATTAAGTCAAGTAAAGCTCTCACTGCCAAATTTGTTACATAATAAATAGAAATTATCTAAAAACCAATTTGGGAAAATAATTAGGTTAAAGTCTTCAAGTGTGTGTATTATATAGAGTTTATAAAGGTCTCCATAGGGTGTGGTTATGGTTCATCTACTATTTTATTAAAATCACTCAAATTATTAATATTATATTTAAAAATATTAATTTTATTTAGTTTAACTATTAGAAATATATAATAGCTATAATTATTAATTAATAATTAATAGATAATTAATATTTATTAGTTAATAGTTTAAAATTAGTGTAAAAATTGATATTTCTAAACATCAAGTTATTTACTATAGTGTTTTGAAATTAATTGTTAGTAATTTCATCTAATCTAATGATTAATAATTATTATCATTAATAATAATTCAAACACTCTTACCACCATAACAAACAATCCTCAAAACTAATTACTTAAAGTAAAAAAAATTAAAATTGTGTAATCATAACAAATTTTGTTTAGCAATAACCACACCCGGTGTACTGGACAATGCATGCATATTTGATGAATAGAAGAGAGAATTATGTTTTGGGATTAGTTTGATGTTTTTAAAAGTTAAGAGAACAAATTAGTTTAAATCACAAAGTTTAGGGACTTTTGGTAGTTTAAGCCAAAACCAATTATGGTCCGTGATTGGCACGCTCAAGAAGGAAAAGGGGCGACGTGATATTTTCCTTCACAGTGGGGAAAAGAACATTATTAACTAGCTCCTCGTCTTCCTAGACCCTAATTCTTCAAACTTCCCCTCGTTTCCGACGGCAAAAGTAATCGGACGACAGGAGATTGGCCTTTCCTGTCTAAGGAAGAAGAAGACCGAGTATCAGTTTCCGTCCAGCTTTGACGCAACACAATGAACCCTTACGATCGCAGATATGCCGACCCTGAATCCTACCGTCAGAGAAGAAGGTAGCACTCTCAACCAGATCTATTCTCCTACTATAGGTTATGTAAATTTGATTTTATGTTGCTGGGTGTGTTCAATTTTGTCAATTTGTTGTTTTGTTTGGACTTTGCAGTGACTTCACGGGTCAACCGCCTCCGCTGGGCCCGCCTCTGATGGGCCCTGGAACAGTACCTCCATCGGGGGCTGCATCCTTTGCCCGTGGTACATCGGTGCCGTACGGAGGTCCCCCGCCACCAGCGCCAGCTTTCCAGGGAAGGGTCCCGGGTTCTGTACCGCGTCCCGGAAATTCGGTGGCGCATCCGCACTTCCAGCCACCTGTTGGCAGATTCGATATTGGCCGCGGTGGCATGGCTAATGGACACGCTGCAGAGAGGAGACGGGATGGAGGACGCGGTGTTAGCGGTGGAGGTCGTGGAAGGGGCCGTGATGCTGGCCGTGGGGGCAGAAGGAGTGGTGGTGGTAGGGATTATGGAGGGAGACAAGGAGGGTCGTCTAGACTGGACTTGGATAATATTTCCCTTCCCAGGCAAGATTTTGGGAATTTGGTTCCTCTTGAGAAGAATTTCTATGTTGAGAGCCCTTCAGTAAGGGCAATGACTGAGCAAGAAGTCATGCTTTATCGTAGAAGGCGGGACATTACTGTTCAAGGCCATGACATTCCAAAGCCCATTAGAATGTTTCAAGAGGCCAATTTTCCTGGTATCTTTTATTTCTTATGAATTTCGTTGAGATTTCTTGTCCATTTATATGAGCTTTCGAGAGACTTTATTCCATTCTATTCTACCTGATTCATCTGATTTGATGTGTCAGATTACTGCCTTGAGGTGATTGCCAAATTGGGTTTTGTTGAACCAACACCAATTCAGGCTCAGGGATGGCCAATGGCTCTAAAAGGGAGAGATTTAATTGGCATTGCTGAGACTGGTTCTGGTAAAACGCTGGCATATCTGCTTCCAGCATTGGTACATGTTAAAGCACAACCTCGATTGGGTTAGTAACTGTCACTTTATATCTTCTAGGCTGTTGTTAATTTCCATTTTATAAGCCTGTTTCTTTTTCTTTCTATAGTACAAGGTGAGGGTCCCATTGTTTTAATATTAGCTCCTACTAGAGAGCTGGCTGTTCAAATTCAAGAAGAAGCTGTAAAGTTTGGATCAAGAGCTAATATCAGAAGTACCTGTATTTATGGTGGTGCTCCTAAAGGACCTCAAATCCGTGATCTTAAAAGAGGTACTGCTAGTTTTCTAGTCCACTGTCTTGCTTTCCTTAAATATATACATATTTAGATGGCAGCACCATGTTGATGAATTTGCTCAATTTGCTCAATGAAGGTATTGAGATTGTTATAGCTACACCTGGTCGACTGATAGATATGTTGGAAGCTCAACACACAAACTTGAAAAGAGTGACTTACCTTGTTTTGGATGAGGCTGATCGAATGTTGGATATGGGGTTTGAGCCTCAAATAAGAAAAATTGTAGCACAGGTAGTTTTATTTTCCATTTTTTCCCGTCTTAAAGGTGTCCTTAAAATATTGAGAATTCCTATAGTCACTATGAGCTATTTTCTTAGCAGTTGCTGTCAGCTTCAGGAATTCGTCATGTTATGTGTGATTCTTGACATGGTGCATCATCTGTTTGGATTATTCTTTTTATGCAATGTGTTTGCTTAAAATTCCTGCTTAAATAAAAGGTTACGTTTTACATGGCCAAGGGAAGTTCAATTTTATTTTTTATTTAAACAGATCCGACCTGATAGACAAACATTATACTGGAGTGCTACATGGCCAAGGGAAGTTGAGTCCCTAGCAAGACAGTTTCTAAGAAATCCGTATAAGGTTTGTGATGAAAATTGTTGAGTCCTTGTTTGTTGTGTCAAGATGTCTTATTTTTGCTGTTATTCTATTTATTGAGAATTCTTGTGTTTTCTTGATCTTAAGGTAATCATTGGATCGCCTGATCTGAAAGCAAACCAGTCTATACTCCAAGTAGTTGAAGTTGTAACAGAGCTGGAAAAGTACAACAGGTTTGTCTAGGAAAATGTTTTGAGTAAACACTAATTTTTGGGATTCTGATGTTTGTTCACAAGTATTCTACCTTCTTGCAGGCTGATCAGATTGCTCAAAGAAGAGATGGATGGAAGTCGAATTCTCGTATTCATGGAGACCAAGAAGGGATGTGACCAAGTTACCAGGCAGCTGAGAATGGATGGATGGCCTGCTATGTCTATCCATGGTGATAAGAATCAGGCTGAAAGAGATTGGGTTCTGGCTGAGTTTAAAAGTGGAAGAAGTCCTATTCTGACTGCCACGGACGTGGCTGCACGGGGTCTTGGTAGGATTATTGTGTATTAGGAGTCATAGTATCTACTTTTAAGTCTTGAAATGTCAAAATTAGTCAAAGTCTGCCAGCTGCTTCCAGTTTCCTGAGAACATAATTTGTGGTTTGGGTGCAAGGGAGGTGCAATCATGCACACTGACTAAGATTATCCTTTTCATTGATCCATAAGCATGATCCTCTGCTTGAAGGGATTTTATGAGTTGGATTGAGAGGCTTGTTGGTTTCTCACATTCATTGGCATGTCCCACAGGAAAACTCTTTTTGGCTGCTACCTTAGTCTTGCAGCTTATGTTACATCGACACGGGGAGCATAGTTTCATGATACAGATAAGCCAGTATAAGATTTTTGGAGGTGTATCATTCTATTACTCAGGTGACAATAGTCCTTATGTCCAAAAAAAGTAATTTCCAGGTTATATATGGAGGAAAAGAAAACTTAAAAGCTAGCATTATGAAGGTTGTTTATTTGCTTTAAATGCCTGAAGTAGCATGGCTCCTGTCATCAAGTGTCTGAGTAACATAGTTGAAGTTAGTATCACCCATCCACGGTTATGGAGCCTGGTTTGTTGTGGCAGCCTGGCGGACTCGTATTTTGCGTATTCACTGATTGGATATAAAATGTTGGTGGTGACAATGCTCTGTATCCCTGCAAGGTTAAGGTGGGCACATTTATCTGATGAATGTGTTATCTTAAATTTGATCATTTTGATCTTAGGGTGCAGGGATAAGGGGGTGTTTGCATTGCTTCAGGACTTTTAATGAAAAAGTATGCTGTTATTTAATGTCACTAGTCAGTATGGATATAGAAACCTGTATGGATAAAAAATGAAGCCAAACCTTATTAGTGGTTGCTTAATATTGATCTGTTATCTTGAAAATATATCCGGAGCAGTCTTGTTTCTCTGTTTTTGGACAAGGAAATGTTGCATGGATATGGCTTAATTTTTCTCAAGATTATTGCATGCTTGCCATTTTTTCTAACCTTCTTGTGTTGGTTGTAGATGTGAAGGACATAAAATGTGTGATCAACTATGATTTTCCATCCAGCCTTGAGGATTATATACATAGAATTGGCCGAACTGGTCGAGCAGGTGCCAAGGGAACTGCTTTTACACTCTTTACACATGCTAATGCAAAGTTTGCCAGGGACCTGATTAAGATCCTGCAAGAAGCAGGTCAGGTGGTGCCTCCTGCATTATCAGCATTAGCCCGGTCTGCTGCTTCTAACTTTGGAGGTAATACTTTGTTTTTGGACACCATGTTAGGAAAGAACGGTAGACAGATAGAATATAAGATGTTCTGAGTATATCCCTGTTTTTAAAACTAAGTTAAAATGTTAGAGTTTATCCTTGTATGACAAATATTTTCCTTTTCAAATTCCCCTTTTTAGGTTCTGGAGGAAACTTCCGTGCTAAGGGACGTGGAGGTTATGGCAAGAGAGGTTTGATTTCTGGATCTAATACTGTACCTCTTGGTGCAAAGAGGCCTTGGTAGTGTCTCTAATGCTGACGCAACAGAGCTTTGATTTTATTTGTAAGAAAAACAGCACATGTTTTGGTTGTAGCTTGTTTCTTATTCTTATATTTAAAGCACACTGGTTACTTCTTCCTTTTCTCTTAATTTGCAGTTCATATGAATGGCAATGCAAATTTTAGTTTGTAACGCTTTGACTAATTTGGCCCTACTTGTGCTCATTCAATTAATTGTTCTTTCTTGGTTAAACCCCAAGTTTTGGTCCCTCAACCTCGGTACAAACACCTGATTTGGTCCATTAACTAAATAAATTCTTATTTTAGCCCTCGAAGTTATTTTTTTAGGTCATTTTTGGGTCGCTCCACTTACGTTTTGCTAACGCGGCGCAATTTCTGTTAACTGATTCATTTCTTCAATATTACGTGGGGGAAAATAATTAAGAATAATTTTTTTACATTTTTTTCTTATAATTTTAGAAGTTTTTTTTATTTTATTTAAACATATAATATTATATACATTTATATATTTAATAATATATAAAAATCATGTAAAAAATTATATAAAAAATTTATCTGTATCAGTAATTGTGGAAATTCTTATGCTGATGTGGCATTAGAAAATTCATTGCGTAACGGAACCGAGGTGTCAACATTTCTCAATTTTTTTTTTAAATTGGCCCATATCTTTCTAAATCTATGTAGTTGAGTTCCCAAATTTAAAATTTTTAAATAGGCCCCAACCTGTTCACTATAGTCCCTCTCTTTTAATTTGTTGTAATTTGGCATATTAGCTTCCAGTTTCACACACTTAATTCCAAAGCTTTGAAAGTGCTTTAATTTCATTCATCTATTTCTAAGCAAGCTCATCCTCCTCATTGACCGTATCTCAAAAACCTTGATCTCTCGTAGACTAATGATGACTTACTTTACCATTATTTTGGTAGATAACAACTCTAATTGTTTTAATTTTTGCACAATATTTAAGTTTTAGTTTTTTTTTTCTTTTAATTTTAAATGAGTTGTCAACATATTTTAAGGCTTAATGATTATTTTTTTGGGTCAATTTGAACTATATGGATTTAATTGATACTATGTAAGATCCTGCCTAGCGTTTGTAGATGTGTTCCTATGCCTACCTACCTCTGTCCCTAAATCAAATATCCAAAAAGTTAAAAGTGAAAACATATTGAGATTAAAAAAGTTATAACATCTAATTTCAACAATAGGATATATGGGATTCAAATGAAACTTATATTATATAACACAAACACCCATCTTATAGCTTTAATTAAATATTTTAGCATTTTGTGTTAGTATGTCTTATTTTTTGCATTTTTATAAAAGTTTTGTTTGTTGATACTTCACATAAATCTTTTTCACACACTACCTTATCTAAAATTGTAAAATTATAATTCTTAATTAATTTTAATTAATTTATATATATTTACTAATTTTAATTAATATTTTATATTTTTTAGATAAAAGTATATAAAAAAACCCTATAGCAGTATAGCACAACACTAAGAAAGAAGCTAAAATATTTTTCTAAAATATTTTATATATTTTAATTATTGACAATAGACATGGCTTCTTTTGCTCCAGTTTGCGGCTTCAAGCAGAGAGATACATGCAACCTAATGGTAGCATTGAGGAGTGGTTGTGCTTTATTAGAATATAATCGATTATCTAATCGACACTATTGACCATTTTTGCCTTTTTACCTAAGTTTGATTTCAAAATTACTTGATTGAAGTTACTTTCTCTATCTTGATTATTAAAGAGTAACTTCTAAAAATTTTGTGTGCACAATACTAAGCTTTGTGGCTAGATGAATGTTCAATATGTATAACCAAAAAAATTATCAGGTTTAAGCGCATTGTTTTTTTCTTTAATTTTTTAATTTTTTGATACTTACACATCTTTTGTAAGTGACTAGAGTGTTTAGAGAACAACTTAGGAACTTTCATTGCTTAGTTGAAGTGGTTAGTTGCTATTTAGAAGGTCACTACTCATTTGGAGAAATGATGGAATGGTTAGCTGGAAAAAAAATAAAAAGAAGAGAGACCTAAAAAAAAAAAAAAAAAACAGAGAGAGCAAGAGAGTTGTTATTATTAAATGTGAAGTTTTTGAAATAGTTCATGCAATGTTAGTTACATGAGAAATTTTGTACTTTCCCCACTTTGTTTCAAAAAAAAAAAAAAATCCAAAAAAAAAAAAGGAAAAAAAGAAGAAAAAAATTCGACAAAATAAAGTCTTTCATCAATTTATAAGACAATTTATTTTCTGAGAGAATAATCTTTCTCACTAGGCTCTACTTTTATTGCTCTCATATTTGATTAATTGAAATCCTAAAACTAGTTTATAGTAAGAGTAGTGGAATTTTAAGCAGTTAACTAATCTATCTTTTAATCAATGTTTTATTGTCTGTTCAATTTTGGCCTTTTTTCTTTGAGTGACTATCTACTTTCCAACTCCATGAGAGAAATCCTTTGCCTTTAACAATTATTTACGTGTAAGGATATGGAGCAGAGGCTTTTACTTCAATTAATCCTCAAGGCTATATATGTTGTGGTTTGTGGTATGAAGCTTATATTTAGTTCACTCACATATACTTTTGGAAGTTATAATTGAAGTAACCTTGATAGCGACTGTGATTTTTTTCTAAATACTTAGGTGGTCTTGTTAGATATCCATTTGAGCTAATCAAGATGCTTTATTTCTTAATTCACGCTTGAATTACTAGAGACTAGCGATAAGTTGGTTGGGGGTTGTGATGAAAGCATGAAAATACATATTTAAAGTGTATCTAACCATTGACATATGTGAAATTATAGGCTTAAGAGTTGTATTTTTTTACAAGTAATTTTATAAGTGTCTATTTTATTTATGTTGTGCAAATTTTTTTATGCTTGTTAGGTTTAAATACCATTTTGGTCCCTCAACTTTCCACTTTAGCACCAAAATTGTCTCTCAACTTTAAAAAATACCAAAATTATTCTTAAACTTTCATTTTCGGTACCAAAAAAGTCCTTCCATCAGTTAAGTGGACAGGTGACATGTTAAAATGCCACAAAATAACTGAATTTTTTGAATCTTAATGACGTGTAAATCCAACAAAAAAAGTTGTCACCATGGCATTTTTTTTTACACGTAAAATTATCAGCTTCTTAGCTTCCCTTTTAGTGGGACCCACATGAAAATTTGTTTTCTCTTTTCTTTTCTTAGTTTCAAACAAGTTCACAAAAATGGGCAGTGTTCTTCATTTCTCTTTTCATTTTCTTTTCAGATTCAAAACCCTAAATCGTTACTTCTGCAAAATCAAAATCAAATCAAGCTTTATATCACCATGGAATCTGTTGATCGAATATGTTGATTTGGTATTTTTTATTATTAATTTACAATTTTCCAACCTAAAAAAAAGAAAAAAGAAAAAAGAACTTCATCTTCTTCTTATCATTAGATACAAATAAGCAACGTTGCCATCGCTGCCCCAAATCAAACGCAAGAGTATCTCAACCTCTAAACCTTACTATTCCCAAACTCTCGCTATGTCGCCAGTGCTCGTTGTTGAGGCTGCCAAGCTTGAGATCGAGGAGGTTGTTTCCGTCGAGAAGCCCCAGG